GGGTGTGCCAAATTAGACGGGGGGCGGCATGCGAACAATGCCACTGGGGCCTTCGGAGAAGCTTCCTCTGAGGGTACGAAGCGTTTGAGGGTGTGCCAAAGTGGAGGGGGGCGGCATGCGAACAATGCCACTGGGGCCTTCGGTGGGGCTCCCTATGGGGCCACGAAACGTGCGAGGGGTGTGCCAACGTGGAGGGGGGGCTGCATGCAATTCATGCCGCTGGGGCCTTCGGTGGAGTTCCATATGTGGCCACGAACAGTGCGAGGGGTGTGCCACAGCGGAGGAGCGGCGGCATGCGAATCATGCCACTGGGGCCTTCTGTGGAATTTCCTATGGGAGCACGAAGCGCAGGAGGGGTGTCAAATTGGACGGGGGGCGGCATACGAACCATGCCACTGGGGCTTTCGGTGGATCTCCATATGGGGCCACGAACCGTGCGAGGGGTGTGCCAAAGTGATGCAACGGCGGCATGCGAAACATGCCACTGGGGCCTTCGGTGGAGCCCCCCATCGGGCCACGAAACGTGTGAGGGGTGTGCCAAATTAGACGGGGGGCGGCATGCGAACAATGCCACTGGGGCCTTCGGAGAAGCTTCCTCTGAGGGTACGAAGCGTTTGAGGGTGTGCCAAAGTGGAGGGGGGCGGCATGCGAACAATGCCACTGGGGCCTTCGGTGGGGCTCCCTATGGGGCCACGAAACGTGCGAGGGGTGTGCCAACGTGGAGGGGGGGCTGCATGCAATTCATGCCGCTGGGGCCTTCGGTGGAGTTCCATATGTGGCCACGAACAGTGCGAGGGGTGTGCCACAGCGGAGGAGCGGCGGCATGCGAATCATGCCACTGGGGCCTTCTGTGGAATGTCCTATGGGAGCACGAAGCGCAGGAGGGGTGTCAAATTGGACGGGGGGCGGCATACGAACCATGCCACTGGGGCTTTCGGTGGAGCTCCATATGGGGCCACGAACCGTGCGAGGGGTGTGCCAAAGTGATGCAACGGCGGCATGCGAAACATGCCACTGGGGCCTTCGGTGGAGCCCCCCATCGGGCCACGAAACGTGTGAGGGGTGTGCCAAATTAGACGGGGGGCGGCATGCGAACAATGCCACTGGGGCCTTCGGAGAAGCTTCCTCTGAGGGTACGAAGCGTTTGAGGGTGTGCCAAAGTGGAGGGGGGCGGCATGCGAACAATGCCACTGGGGCCTTCGGTGGGGCTCCCTATGGGGCCACGAAACGTGCGAGGGGTGTGCCAACGTGGAGGGGAGACTGCATGCGAACCATGCCACTGGGGCCTTCGGTGGAGCTTCCTCTGGGGCCGCGAAACGTGCGAGGGGTGTGCTATAATTGGACGGGGGGCGGCATACGAATCATGCCACTGGGGCTTTCGATGGGGCTCCCTATGGGGCCGCGAAACGTGCGAGGGGTGTGCCAACTTGGTCGGGGGGCGGCATGCGAACAATGCCACTGGGGCCTTCGGTTCCAACTCCCTATGGGGGCTACGAAAAGTGTGAGGGGCGTGCTGAAAATGGAAGGGGGCGGCATGCGAACCATGCCACTGGGGCCTCGGTTGAGATCCCTGTGGGGCCACGAAACGTGTGAGGGGTGCCAATTTGGACGGGGGGCATGCGAACCATGCTACTTGGGCCTCCGGTGGAGCCCCCATCTGGGACCACGAAACGTGTGAGGGGTGTGTGAAAGTGGAAGGGGGGCGGCATGCGAACCATGCCACTGGAGCCTTCGGTGGAGCCGCCTATGGGGCCACGAAACGTGTGAGGGGTGTGCCAGAGTGCGAGGGGTGACGGGAGGAAGAGCAGGAGAAGGATGAGGAGGAGGAGGCGGAGGAGGAGGAGGAGGACCAGTGTAAACTCAAAGGTCATCAACGATGGTGGAATGAACCCTCCCACCAAGCTCCCTCTTCATAGGCCCCTACAACGGTTCATTTCCATTGAAAGAACTGCCCCGTTGGAAGACACCCGCGTGAAGACCCTGAAGCATGCCAAAACATTGTTCTCGGGATTCCAACGCCACGGATCAACCTGACTGTTGCGTCTTGACGATCCTGTATCGTGCCAGAACGCCATGCCTGGGAATTCAAAACAAAGAATCAAACTGACTGGTGCACCCGCATAATCCTGAATCCTTCCAACACACTATCTCTGGTTCATTGATTATTGAAAACCCATAAACTCTTGGAAATGTTGGAAAAGAATGTGCGCGGCGCTAAAGCAAGAACCACAGTTTGAAAAGGAACCGCCCCCAATCCGTGCAACTCTTGCCGATGTGTAAGACGAATGTGCGCCGCGCTGAAGCGAGAGCCTCTTTTCTGAAAACGACCCGTCCTCAATCCGCGAAACTCTTGTACATTTAAAAACGAATGTGAGCCACACTAAGGCGCTAATCGCATGGTGAAAACGACCCGCTCTCAATCCGTGAAGCTCTTGCACATGTTTAAAACGAATGCGCGCCGCGCTGAGGCGAGGACTTCATTTTGAAAACCACTCGCCCTCAATCTGTGAAGCTCTTGCAAGTGTGTAAAGCGAGTGTGCGCCGCGCTGAAGGCGAGAGCCGCATTTTTAAAACCACCCGCCCTCCATCAGTAAAACTGTTGCCAATGCTTGAGCTTCAGAATCGTAATTGGTGAGGAAGTCTCAGGCGAAGCGCCCGGTCCGCTCTAAAAACTGGCCTCGGGGTGCGACAGGGAGAAGTTATTTATGAGGAAAAGGAATGGAGGAGGAGGAGGTGTAGGAGGAGCGCACGTAACCTCGGAGGTGTAGGAGGAGGAGGAGGTGGATGAGGAGAGGAGGAGACGCGAGGGTTCATTACCGCAGGATGGTTGGGAGAAGATATCCAGGCGAAGGGCCTAACCATCTGCAGTTGTGAGTATCGCCGTTGTGAGAACTGCCTTCGGTGGCGCTCACTACGGGCACGAAGCGCGCGAAGGATGCGCCGCAATGGGGCGGGGCCGCCATCCGGGCGCTGCCGCTGGGGCCTCCAGTGGAGCTCCACATGGGGCCACGAAGCGCATGCGGGGTGTGCCAGAGTGGACGGGGGGAGCTCACCCAGAGAGCCACATAGCGGCCCCAGAACGAACCCACGACGCCCCCGAAACACCGGAACGAACTACACTACGCAATCAACAAATTTGCTGCTCGGTCACAAGTGAGGGCGGTGGCACGCCCCAGGCGCAGTAGAGATCGCCACCCGGCCTTAACGTAGAGTTGCGATGATGTCTCCTGCGCCCCCCCCTCAGAGGCTACAAGCCCAGCGCCGAGTGTTCGATCAAGCCCGCAAAAAATCCCCTCCACCTCGTCCGTTCCTCCACCAAATCTCCCTCCTTCCCTAGTACTGCTCTCGCCCGTGTTCGTCCTGTTCCTGCTCATCCCCCCAAGCGTCCTCTCGAGCAGCGTGCGAGTAAAGACTTAAGGCGAAGCGGAACGAGTCTTCAAACAAGTGTATATATCCGCCGGCCCCCTTGTGGGGCCACCAGGCTGTAGGCGCGAGGTTCGCAGTTTCCTGTACCAGTTGTAGCTTGTAGTTTCCAGTGTTACAGTTCTGCTTCTTGCTGGTTACTGTAACTAGTTGATTGATTTTTAGCGTCTCCTGGGCGCGTTGTCTGAATTGCTGGGGGGGCTCGAAATCGACACCCCTCACGCAGATCCGCGGGGTCAGGGTCCAAAAACACAGGGGATTTGCCACATTTCTGAAATTCGGTGCCACCCCTCACGCAGATCCGCGGGGTCAGGGTCCAAAAACACATGGGATTTGCCACATTTCTGAAATTCGGTGCCACCCCTCACGCAGATCCGCGGGGTCAGGGTCCAAAAACACAGGGGATTTGCCACATTTCTGAAATTCGGTGCCACCCCTCACGCAGATCCGCGGGGTCAGGGTCCAAAAACACATGGGATTTGCCACATTTCTGAAATTCGGTGCCACCCCTCACGCAGATCCGCGGGGTCAGGGTCCAAAAACACATGGGATTTGCCACATTTCTGAAATTCGGTGCCACCCCTCACGCAGATCCGCGGGGTCAGGGTCCAAAAACACAGGGATTTGCCACATTTCTGAAATTCGGTGCCACCCCTCACGCAGATCCGCGGGGTCAGGGTCCAAAAACACATGGGATTTGCCACATTTCTGAAATTCGGTGCCACCCCTCACGCAGATCCGCGGGGTCAGGGTCCAAAAACACAGGGGATTTGCCACATTTCTGAAATTCGGTGCCACCCCTCACGCAGATCCGCGGGGTCAGGGTCCAAAAACACATGGGATTTGCCACATTTCTGAAATTCGGTGCCACCCCTCACGCAGATCCGCGGGGTCAGGGTCCAAAAACACAGGGATTTGCCACATTTCTGAAATTCGGTGCCACCCCTCACGCAGATCCGCGGGGTCAGGGTCCAAAAACATATGGGATTTGCCACATTTCTGAAATTCGGTACCACCCCTCACGCAGATCCGCGGGGTCAGGGTCCAAAAACACATGGGATTTGCCACATTTCTGAAATTCGGTGCCACCCTTCACGCACATCCATCGCAAGGCGTGGTAACCCAAACTGCGAGAACTCCCTCGGCCCTTTAATCGCAAGGTGTGGTAACCAAGCCCGTAAACCATACACGTCTTACCAATCGCCAGGTGTGGTAACCCCTCTTGTGATCAGTTGGTTTTGCTGATTGCGAATCGGCTTCGCATTAAGTTTCGATACTGCTTCACGACAGCGCCAAGGCCTCATGACTTAGCTCTTCCATGGCCCATTCTCCGAGAGAGGGGGCCGGCGGCAGGGGGCGAAGCCCTTACGGATAAATATATATATATATATATATATATATATATACACATGTCTATAGCGAGTTCGCCAGGCAGTATTAACAATCTGGCCCGTCGCCAATCATAGATTTTCAAGACGCACTGATCATCTCCATCCCTGTACCACTCGAAAAATGGTCGGATCGAGTTCCCATATATTACGTTCGTGTGTATATAAAATCTTGCTGCGGACCAGGGCGAATCCTCGAACGTGAGGTTCCACAACACGTCCACGCCTGGCTGTAGCAACTCGTAGCTGGTCTCCAAGTGACGCTCCAGCATGCCGATGATGGCCTCCGTTGGGAGGGATAGTACGGTGGACGGCACAAGTGCAACCGCTGTTACGGAAAGTAGAAACGCCATCCTTGTGAGTTGACTCCGTGTGTGATTGCTTCACGGCCTCGAGCCCGCTGCCCCTTGCCTGCCCGCAGCTGAGCATCGGCACACGCGGAAGGGCCCCACAGTCGCACTTTTTCGTGCTCCGTCGGCTGGAGCCCACCACGCGCACTGCGCCCAATATAACGGCTCGCGCCGGGCAAAGGCAAAACCACGTGTTGGCAAAGCTTGGGGGCTGGGGGGGGCGCCATGCGGACCCCGACGGTGAACATCCAGGTACGTGCCAGGAGGGACCATTACGATTACGAGTAGGCCCACGAGCTGTTGCTTCTCGGTGTTCTTCTGGGCGGGCGTGGCAGGACCCAGACGAGCACCGAACACAGCATTAATGCGGCAACGGGGCTGCTCTACAAGAACAACGCGAACATGCAGACGCCAGGCAGCCTCGTTGGGAGCAACTGGGTATGGAGCACAGCTCGGGAAGATCGCCCGGTGACTTGGAGTGCACCAGAGGAAGAGAGGAGAGGAAAAAGAGAAGGCAACAGCAAAAGCAAGCAAACGATCTGCACTATCTGCATTGGTCGCGCATGGGGCTTGCACCTGGCACCTCAACACGTATGCTTTGAGCACATTCCGCTTCTGGGGCTTCCAAATGTTACGTTTCATGCTGGAGATGCGCCAGCGGCCTGATGAGACCCGTATGCCTTACTGCGGCAAGATTCTTACCCATTTCCCCAGCCCTTTTCCTCCGCCTCCTTCTCCTCCTTCTCCTCCTCCTCCTCTTCCTCCTCCTCAAGAGTTGACCCGCGACCTGCCTCGACCAAGAATCTCGATGGGAACCCCGCGGAGACGACAAGCCTCTTCACTTAGTCAGCAGAATGCGTCAACATCCTGATCCTCGAACCTCTGTCACCCCCGAGAGCCCAAGACGAGAAGCCCCCCTCTGGATTCCCGCACACCTGCGAGGAAAAAAAGACAACCCCTCCCTCTTCCTCCTCCGCCGTCTCCCGGGCGGTTGCGAACGTGTCAAACGTGCGCCATCCGACCAGATACCGAGCACGCCCAGCGCGAAGCCGCTCGGATAGCAACGGCTTTCCTCCATGCTGCACGAGGGCCCACGGCGGGGTGCACTCACTCCTCCAGCCGAGCGCCGCGAGAGTGAAGGGCGGTCCAACTTACGTATCCGGACTGATCCCAAGACTGCTGGAATCAGCCCGACTACCAAGACCCACGACTGACACGACCACCCAAGCTCTGCAACCCGACAAGAGACACCCGCGAGGGCACCGAGTACTTGCGTGGTCAAAGGCTCGACGGCCGGGACGACGAGGGGCCGCGTCTCGCTGACCAGGGAGCCGTTCCTAAACCTGCACCAGCGGTTTGTTCTATCTATACATACTAGAGAAAAAATAAAACAATAAGAAACGACGCTATGGCGACGCAGCCCGAGGAATGGCTGCCAGACAGGCGCACCGAATGATACCCATGTCTAGGCCAGCACGGTCTGCAGTTCAGATACCGCGGCTGGCATGTACAAGCTCGTGGGTCTAGCGGGAGGGCGGTCATGTCTAGGCCAGCACGGTCTGCAGTTCAGATACCGCGGCTGGCATGTACAAGCTCGTGGGTCTAGCGGGAGGGCGGTGGGCGCAGGCACTGCGTGGCTCCCAGACCGAGGTCAACCCGATGGGGTCGGAGGGCATTGGCTGGGACGGGCGAGTGTGATTGGGGGGGGGATGACCTGAATGGATGGAGGGGGCGAAGAGGAGGGCTCCCAAAGGGCCCCATCTTGGCACTGCAGCGCGGCCCGGCCTCCACCCCTCCGCACCGCACGACCTCGCGGCGCGTCTCCGGGCTGGTGAACGTGAGGTCCTCCAGCCGCCTGCACGCCTGCCCGCGGGAGGGCGCCGCCAGCTCGCCCCGGGGGATCAGAAAGGTGCCCGTGCCCTGAGATCCGGCGTTGCGAACAAAAAGGCAACATCGTGACGGACCCCAACTTTCTGCGTCATTTGTCGGACCGGGTCGATCTGTTACAGTCCCAGGGCCCGGAGTTGGGCGAAAACGCCCAGCAGCAAACAATGCATCGCCAAGGTCTCAGGGGACCGCTACCATCGAAGCATGGTCACCAGAGGACGTGGGCCAAGAGCACGAGTCACTTCGCCGAAGGCCTCCGGCCCACGGAGGGACCCCGCAACGCAGGACGCTCCACGGTGAAGAGCCCGAGCGCGAAGAGCAGAGGGGTACCCCTCGAAGGCCAGGGTCGCTCTTAACCCTCGTGTTAATGTTGTTCCCATGGTGCTTGGGGACTGCATCCCAGAAATAGTTTCGAGCACCACGACAAGTATCGAAAGAGTGTCTGCCCGAGACGCTAGCCAAGTGTCAAACGCGAGTGTCGCCTCCCAGGGCCCGACATGTGAAAGCCCACCAGTATGGTTACTTCCTTGGTGCTCGACATTCTTGCTGGCGATCAAGGCTGAAGTAGATTGGGCGATCACACCCTCTTGCCAGCTGTACTCCGCGGACCTCTGCTGGGGTGCGCTCCTAGGTCACCCAACTTCGCACACCCTGCCCCGCGATGCGCCATGCGCGACTCTCTGCGCGCCCTCCGCGCCCCCCGGCGCCGCCCCCTCTGGAGAACAGGCAGTCACTCTGACCCAGACCGCGATGGCGCGAAGCGCGAGACTCCCTTCGCGCCCTCGGCGGCGAGCGGGGGAAGTGAGAAGGAGAAGGCCTTCTCAGCGGTCGGCGGAGCCTCTCAGAAGCCCTCTGGCCTTCCGAGAACTTGTCTGTCGTCGGGAAAGGCTTCGAGCACTTCTCGGAAGGACGACGGACTTCCGAGCCTTCGGAGAAGGCCCGCCCCTGCTCACTTCCCACCCGGGCTGGCCGCCGACAGAATCTCGAGGCGAACTCGGCCGTGCTGACGAGACAGGGGCAGCGGCATCGGCATCCTCCCCACCTCCTCCGAGACGCCCCCCGCCGCTGCCTCCCCATCGCTCGGACGTCCATTCCTCGTGCATGTCTCGGCATCGTGGGTTCATTTGTGGCAGGACGATCAATGCTCCTCTGGGGAGATCCAAAAGTACTGATACCGCCACTCCCCCGACCTCTCCCGGGGTGCGTGCGTTCTGACCAGAATTTCGAGACGAATCCGGCGGTGGCGACGAGAGCCTCCCAGGAAGCCGAACAAGGAGAAAACGGGCGAAAGGGTAGCAGTATGGGTACCTTTTCCCCCTCTGATCGCTAGTCCTCTCGGCAACGAGCGACGGGGGGAGGAGAGAAGGAGAAGGCCTTTTCAGAAGGCTCCGAAGCCCCCTGGCCTTCTGTGAAGAAACCACCGCCTTCCCCGAACCCCCCAAAACAACTTTTCAGAAGGCGCGAGGGCCTCTGAGAAGCCGGGCCGCCTCGTGAGAGGCCTGCGCACACGCCGACTCACAGTGCCCGCGAACTTCGAGCCCCGATCCTAGAACGATCGACAAGACAAACGGCGACGACGACGGCGGCGGCGACGACGACGATGGCGGCGACGACGACGACGACGACGACGACCTGGACGACGAAGACGACGGCGGCGGCGAGACCGGGAGCGCGCGGCCTGGGAGCACGCCTGTGCGTCGTCGGCGCGCTCCTGGAGAAGCTGAGAGGTCACCGTCGCCGTCGCCAGACCTCCAGGGGCACAGCCACATCGAGTCAGATGCTCTTCTGCGTCTGCGCCCTCCAGAGTCCTTGTTCGTTCTCCTCCCCTCTCCTCTCGCCCCAACCTCAGAGGTGGGTCCTCGCCCAGTCGGGGTGGGCCCTCCTCCGCTGCGCCATCGCCCAGTCGGGGTTGGCGCAGCACCCCTCCGACCACCCCAGTCGGGGTAGCTCGGACTGCGGATCGCCCAGTCGGGGCCCCTTGGGTTGTCCACAGACAGATGTCAGGATTCTGAACATCGGGTGCTGGGGAAGGGGTCCAGAGATCCAGGGTCCCGAGACTTGCACATATCGAGGCGTCCTCGGACCTCACCGTCGACGAAGGCCTCGTCGAGATGCCCGCCACAGCCGTTTTCGTCCTGGTGGTGACCGTCGTCGTCGTCGTCGTCGTCGTCGTCGTCGTCGTCGTCGTCGTCGTCGTCGTCGTCGTCGTCGTCGTCGTGGTCGTCGTGGTGGTCGTCGTGGTGGTCGTCGCCATCAACGCCGTCGTCGTCCATGGCGCCGTCGAGATAGTCGTCGCGGCTGCACCCGTTGTGGTGGGGATCGTCGTCGCCGTGGCCGTCGTCGTCAGATGGTCATCGTCGCGTGGTCGCCGCGAGCGTTGTCATGCCGGCGGAAGACGCCGAGCTCCTGGAGGAGCCGGACCAGCGGCTGAATCTGGTCGACGCTCGCCTGGTCGGGGGCGCGGCCGGCGCGGGCGCTCTCCCGAGGCCGTCCTCGCCCTGCTCCCTCCACGTCGTCCTCGGGGGCAATAACGAGGCCGACGGGCGACAGGGCTGCAAAGCAGGGCGGGATGATGTAGCCTCCTGTTTCTTCAGCTAGGGGAGGGCAGACCGATGTCAGATTTGCGTCTCCCAGGCCACCTGGAGGCTTGCGGTTCCTTGGCAGTGCGGCGAATGCTCGAAGAGCTCCCGCTCATTTGAGCGCCCTCCTCCTGGGCGCTGCGAGAACAGGCTGAAAGTAGATCCGAAGATGCCTCGCGACCATGGCCGTATGTATTGTGGCCGACTGCAGCGACGGCAGCTGCGTGTGTTTCTGACAACTTTGCTTCTTGTAGACCTTTGCCGGGCAACTCTGAGGCTTGGGGGACCCTTGCCTTCATAGCCCCCTAAGATGCGTCTGCTGCCCCTCGTAAGTACCCCCAAGCTCAGAGTTAAGAATCTTGTACGCTGAAGAAATCGGCTTCACTCCAAGCGCTTCTTTGAACAGTAGTCCAGGCCCAGATATACGAACATTCCACGAAGAATAGAAGCTCCAAGACAACGCCCAGGGTGCAATCCAGATTCTTGATTTTCTTGAGCGAGTCTTAGAGCCCACGAGAAGTTACGCTTTTGTTCAAACTTGAAGGGGCCCAAAGACACACCAATAAATACACACACACATCCCAAGATCCCCCATCTTTTCTCATATGTTCTGGGTGTTCGCCGTCCCCCCCCCTCCACATATTCTCCAATATTTTCATGGGAATCGACGATTCATTGTGTCTGTGTGTGTGCTTCCCCCTCCTGGAAAAAAAAACTGCCTGATGGGTGTCTAAGAAATCCTAGCCCCTGGGCACTGCGAGACGCCAGGAGGCTCGGCCCGGGCTCGCGGCCCCCGTGGATGTGGACGTACATCACTGGATGTGGATGTGGATGTGCAGGTGGAGGTGGAGGAGGGGGATGGGGAGGTGGAGGAGTGGATGTGGATGTGGGTGTGGATGTGGATGACCCTCGCCGCCCTGGTCCTCATGGTGCTCTACGTGGCGCGCCCTCGTCCTCTGCCCTCGTCTTCGTCCTCCGCCCTCGCTCTTGCCCCGCGCCTCGCCGCCTCCTGTTCCTCCTGCTCCACCCGCTCCTCCTCCTCCTCCTCCTCCTCCGTAGCCATTTTGGCTCAAGCCATTTTGGCTCAAGCACATGGAGCCCAAGGCGCGTTGATCCCTTTTGGCTCAAACGCGCCATGGGTCCGGCCTCGTCGCCTCCTCGCGGCGTGCTTGGGGCTACCCGCAGCTCCGGAATGTCCGACGGGACGAGGGTCGGCCAAGGGTGAGGCGAAAGTGTCGGTGCCGGGGCGTCATCAGCTACCATGTTGGCATCTCCCATCTCCGCCTGGGGAGGGTATGTTGTCTCTCTGGTGGTTGGAGCCCAATTGTTTTTCAATTCTGTGGTGGGCTGTCAGTTCTGGTGCTTATTGTTCATCAATGGAACGTTCAAAGTGCTTTCATGCTCACCGTCTTCTTCCTTGTTCGGCAGCCGTCGGGCGCGGCGTCTCACAACATTCAGTGGGAATGGTGTGGTCTGGCAGTTAGTGTTGTGTATCGAGGGACCTGCAATAATGGTGAAGTCACAATCCTGTCAGCGCTGCCGAGCTGTTTATCTCGGGCCTGAGTGTGCAATGGGTTTGTCTCAGTTTCGGTCGACATCGCAAAACACAATATTGGTGGAATTCTCAGTTTGTCAGTTCATGTATTTCGTATTGTTCGCGCTGTGGGGCTTCCTCGTCTCGTCCGTCTTCTGAGCAGGGGAGATGGCTTGTCTTCAAGACTTTGTCTTATGGTCATGCTCATGCTCATGCTTATGCTCCTCCTCCTCCTCCTCCTCCTCCTCCTCCTCCTCCTCCTCCTCCTCCTCCCCCTGCTCCTCCTACACCTCCTCCTCCTCCTCCTCCTCCTCCTCCTCCTTCCTCCTCCTCTCTCTCTCCTCCTCCTCCTCCTCCTCCCTCCTCCTACTCCTCCTCCTCCTCTCCTCCTCCTCCTCTCCTCCTCCTCCACCTCCACCTCCACCTCCACCTCTACCTCCACCTCCTCCTCCGCCTCCTACACCTTCTCCTCCTCCTCCTCCTCCTCCTCCTCCCTCCTCCTCCTCCTCCTCCTGCTCAGCTCCTCCTCAGCTCCTCCTCAGCTCCTCCTCAGCTCCTCCTCAGCTCCTCCTCCTCCTCCTCCTCCTCCTCCACCTCCTCCACCTCCATTCCTTTCCTTACAGCTCATCCCTGTCGCGCCCAGAGAACGGTCGGAAGGGTGGGCATGTCGTTTCGCCTGAGACTTCCTAACCATTTATGATCCTGAAACTTAAACATTGGCGACAGCTTCACAGATGGAGGGCGCGTGGTTACGCATTAGCGCCGCGCACAGTCGTACTGATGCTGCTGCTGCTGCTGCTGCTCCTCTTCCTAGTCCTACTGAACATCCGCTCCTGCGTGCTCCCTCCCGTCCGCCTACTCCTAGTCCTGAGGACCAGGAGGACAACGAGGAAGAGTGGGCCGGAGGAGAAATCGAGGGCGAGGACGAGCAGGACGACGAGGACGAGGACGACGAGGACGACGAGGACAAGGTGGACGACGAGGACGAGGACGACGAGGACGAGGTGGGGGGCGAGAAGGGCAGAACCCACGCAAGCCTGGCAAGCAAACCCAGGATGGAGGATAAGCGTGACAAAAGAGCGAGCGAGCGAGCGCGCGTCCGTCCGTCCGGCCCCACTTGTCAAGGAGCCGCGACCGAAGGGGCGGAAAAGTCTGGCCACAGCCCAACGTAGAGGAAATGTGAAACCATGCGCGCGTGCTCTCTCAACTCTCACTCACGCTGTGGGATCTCAAACAAGGTAACGGAGAAGGGGGAGGAGGAGGTGAAGTCCTCCTCCTCCCTCTTCCCCCTCCTTGTCCCCCCCCCCCCCGGCGAAGCCCTACTCCTCCTTGCATTAGGCAAACATGTGCGGCGAAGCTGTTGCGCTTCCGCCTTCCGCCTCCTCCTCCTCCTGCTCCCCTTGAAGCCCTCCTCCGCATCCTCTTCCTTCTCCTCCTCCTCCTCCTCCTCCTCCTCCTGCTCCTCCTCCTCTTGCAGCTTCTCCCAGTGGAACCCTCCCGTCTCCTCCCCTCCTCCTCCTCCACCTCCTCCTCCTCCTGCTTCTTCTCCGCCTCCTCCTGTTCCTTCTCCCCATCCTTCTCCTCCTGCTCCTGTTCCTGCGAATGCTTATCCTCCTCCTCCCCCTCTTCCTCCTCCTCCATTCCTTCATCTATGAACTTTCCTTTGTGGCGCCCCCAGGCGTGTCGGTCGGGCGGGCCGAGCGTGTCGCCTCAGACTTCCTCACGGCTGTACCAATTTCAGCGTGAGATTTGCCACATTTTTGCGGATGCGCGGTGGGTGGTTTTCAAAACGTGGTTCTCGTTTTAGCGCAGTGCGCATTCGTTATAAACGTTCTGTCACTGCTTCACTGTCGGCGGAGTGTCCCGTCTCAAAATACGCCTCTCGCCTCAGCGCCGCGCACATCAGTCATCAGTCTTCAAAGTTGCGACATTTTGACAGATTCGTGCGGAAAGGTCCCAGAAGCGGTAAGCTGACGCAGCTCGGAAATGCCAGGACGCACCAATCACGTTGTTTCAGGGTGTTGAAATACTAGAGATGGTGTTCTGGCGCGGTGCTGGGTTGTCAGGATGCGACAACCACGATGATACGCAGAGCTGAAGTCCCCGGCACTGTGTTCTGGCAGTGTGGATGGTTCTCAGACGCTGGTCTTCTAATGCGCCACTTTCCGCATTCAACAAAAAATGTATGCACAGACCTATGAAATGGGAACTTGGAGGATAGGTTGATTGCAACTTCGTTAATGCATCTTGGGTTCCTCCACCTCCACCTCCTCCTCCTCCTCCTGCTGGAAAGGCCCCTTGGCTTGGGCATTGTATACCGAGCACACACTGCACATTCCGCTTTCAGTCGTGACCTTACTACCAGCACTCCGGAACTCATAAACATTTCGATGTCAGGAAGTTGGATTGCAGTCTGCTTGTCTTTCTTGCACTACCCGTTCCAAGAGCGGCACGCGCCAGTTCCCGCAAGTTATTCATGAATGGTTTGTCTACTTTGCAGTAGAACCCTCTCTCCGCTACCTGCGCAGTGAGATTGCAAGAGATCGCGAGGGCGGCCGCCAACGTGGCTTTCGCGTGCCTCAACGGCACGGGCGAGCAGCAATTCGAAAGAGAGTTCGCGGCGCAATGGAAGAAGCTTGAGCCAGACAGATGGTGTATTTCATCCGGCTGGCGCCGCGGACCGCCCACCGACAAGTCTGCGGGATGCGCTCGTGTTCTTGGTAAGAGAATCTCGCGACGCAGCATTCCCAATACTTGGACTGGTCCGCCCACTGGGCGCGGTTTAGCTATCAGAACCACAAGCAAGAGAGATGATTTTGGCGTTTCCAGCGTGTGCTTCCCACCTCCTCCTCACTACGCCGATCAAGTACGGCCTTATCAAGCAAAAAACTTGCGACATTATCACCCGATGGCTTCGCAGCTGACCAATATGGGCAGCGCATCTATGTCCACCGATAGTCTGTCTAGATCTGAACTCAAAATTCGGACTTCAACGGCGCGAAGGTTCTGAAACATGGAGTCCTGTTGATTCAGAACTCACTGGTGAACAGATATCGCAAGTTCGACAAAGATGCGCAGCATCTGCACTACTCACGATTATGGGGGGACTCGATATGCGTTCTTAACGCAGTTCCATGGAGCTGGTGCAACATATTACAACAAGTTTGGCAATGGTTCGCAACTTGATTACATTCAGGTGCCAAGCTGCATGCTCACGTCTACCGCCACAATTGGGCCACTGCGGCGACTCGCTCGTGAATTACCAGTTAATCGGATCTCCATTGCCGGGTAATCATATACCAGTCCATGCCCGACTGCATCATCCCTTTGCAGACGCTATTGGGTTACCTAGCCGTATCGACGAAGACCCTCGCCTCGGTTTCTATCCTCAGGCTACCCCGCGGCATCGCGAATCATTGATGGACTCTCTCAGGCGCGGCACGAATCGAGCTGATGTCCAACAAGCAGTTGAGCGCCGTCTGGCACAGGAAGAAAGACCATTTGTCCAACGTCGGGATGGGTAGACCCCTAATGCTGAATGGTGACTATGTTTGAAAACTGTTGGCGCAGGGTGCAAGCGTTTTTTATTAAAGAGCACCTGCACCGCGCCCAGGGCATCACCAGCGGGCACAGCAAGTCATTGGGTTCATTCAAGCTCGACGCAAAGTTCGATTGCAACTCGTGGACGCAGATCCCAAGTTAGAAGCTTCTCCTGCTCAACAAAACCAAGGCGATGAATAACTCATTTCGAGGCATGCGACGTCAAACTGTTCGCGGATGGCGCCGGGAACTCACGCTGGAACTTCTGCAGGCTGATCGGTTTGGATAAACCGCTGAAGTTGCACGCCTATCTCGTTTACTATCTGCTCGTGACACTTGGCTTCGTCGTCGTAGCGATCGCCGAGCAGTCAGCGTTCCCCCGACAGCCGACGATCTTAAGCAACGATGTCAAGTTCGTTCTGGTGAGAAAGGTATGAATGCTGAGATCATTGACTGGTGTTCTCAAGGTGGTCCACACATATTTGGAGATGGTGGAGTTGGGTCCGAAAACAGCACGTCGCCGTGCACACAATAAGGATTAAAATGGTCTATGCAAAGTACCCGCCCATCGCTCAAAACTTTCGTGCGGCAACAAAGCGCAGGACATCGCAACCATGGTCGCTGCCGCCGGAGATGTTTTGGACGTCGTTTCACCCCTACCGGCGAACTTCAACAGGTATCGAGGTCTCGGATATGAAGCGCCTGGAAGTGATGTGCGAAAGGTGCGTTTTTTCTAACATGTATGATGCGCAAGATTTAAAGAACTACCGAAGTACCGCGGGTCTGGGCTCCTTTCCCATGGCGCGGCCATTGCGCGCAATGGAGCCATTCATGCATTATACCCGTTCGAACAGATCTTTCGTTTCATCAAGTCTATCACTGGCTCAGCTTAACATTGGACCTCTTTTGTCCAACGCATGTGTAGCTCGCCGAAGGAGGGGGGCCCCATGATGGTACAGCAATCCCTTGGATGGCGTCTAAGACGTGACGAATGCATTCAGCAGCGCATCATTCTCGGCACTCTGCGAGGCAAGCCGAACAATCATGCGGGATCTCGAGACTAGATTCGGCGAGCGACGATTTCAACGCGCAGCGGCTTGCTTCGAGGGGCCCGATGGAATCTCTGTCGCACGTCCTAGGGTCGAGCCTTGCAAGGGGACCCATGGGCAGTCAAAGCTTGTACCGGGGACATGGGCGCTATATCCGAGGAGGCGCAGGAGTTGTTCAGGCAATCTGGGGGTATTACAGCTAGCTGGTGTATTGTTGACAATCCGATTTCCAATTCTCCTATCGAGCTAGATTTCAGCTTTCATGGCGATGCCGACGATGCCACTAAAGTTACTTGTCTCAGAGGGGGAGGAGGGCGATTTCGTCGCGAGCACAGAATTAAACAACGCGTCAGTGACGTACGAGCGCGTGCTTAGCACGCACATGTTCGAGCACAACTACAAAATAATCCCCGCCAAGAACGAAACAGTAGTAGCAGTATCCGGAGCAGGTAGTAAGCATGTTCATCAAAGATGTCGACCAGGTCAGTTACCAGCTGCTGGTAATGTTAGTGATCGTGCGCGGCTGCTCGGAGGTGTTCTCTGGGCCGGATCTACGTTTCAGAGCGAGCTGCTTTGCCGTCTCCCAGCAGTCGACTCAGGCCATGCTGCTATGGGCCGCACTGGTACCAGCCGAAGCTGCCACCTGTTGAAGAAAGGGCTGTCTTGATCACTCGTGTTATTGGCCCCGCTCTGTCAGGAATCGCAAGTTTCGTTCCCGCTGCTGCTCAGATTCAGAAGCTCCAGACTCGGGTTTGAGAATATGCTCGCAGGGCTTTGAGGGGAGCAGCCGCCATTGATAAAACTGAGCGCCCGCTTTCTCTTCCCAGCTCCCAGGCATTCAGATACCGGCGCTTCGCGCCATTGGGAGTGGAGGCGAGGTCTCGACGTATTAAAAGGCATCAGGCTTGGGTCTCTGCGCCTGATGGGCGCACTCCCGAACGGGGAGCCCCGTTTGGCTGCATGCGCATCGAGATCGAAAATCAGCTTCACATCATCGATGACCAGGGAAAACTTACCAGTGCGGCCCGCCCATGGGCCCTTCGTTTCGCGTCGGACATCAACTCGCTCACCGGCACAAGGGACGAAGAGTACGAAATGACCGCCGAGTTCGATAATACACCGCTCAACTTATTTCAAACTTCGGACTTAGTTGAATGGCTCACGCAGTCCGAAGCAAAACAGCTTCGGGCTCATTGGCTTAGTGTACTTATACCTCCACCTGGTCATCAACCTGCTCCCCAGGCAAATAACACCAACACCCAGGACCAGGACACACAAGGTGAACATAGGTGTACGGCACGAGGCCGCACCAGCACGTTCCACACTCGTCGACGATTTCTCACGCATCTTCATAATCATCACGGGCTGCGGGCAATATTACCGCAGGCAGTTTTTACTAATCAGTGATTTGTGTGGGGGTCGCTATTCGAGAACACTGACAGCACGTACAAGCAGCTCGTTCGCTCGTTCAGGACAAGTACGTGTACCGCACCCAGAAGCACAACATATCAGGTTCGACAAGATGAATCGTCATACGGTTGCCCTTTGTGCCAGGCCCAAGTTCACGACACAACTGAGCTCCAGGTTCATCTCCGGCCGCACTTTCATACACTCCCGCTTGTCGACGATGGAGGTCGGTCGAGGCAACACCAGACTGGCTCAATATCAAGCGCAAGGCCCCCGACAGCGACAAGCCAGACAAGGAGGGCGAGAAGGACAGCAAGCTCCCGAGGCTCAATAATCAGGTCGAGAGCGACACCGCTGGTGGCAAAGTGGGCCCCCCTGGCTGCACTCATCACGAGTTTCGCGAAGCTGTGCCTCAGCAGCAGTCGCGAGCTAGCGGAGCTTATCGGCGCCAACTACACCTGATTCTTGCTCCCCGCAACGGTGGCAATCGTGGCTATTCTCAAACAGGCGGGGGTGGATTACAATGCGATGTGCAAGTCCGAAAGCAATGGCCATCAGAACGGACCTCCCTGGCCACACATATTCACGGCGCTGGTGCAGCACATCGTGACATCGACAGACACCAGCCTCCCAGAGGGCCCCAAGAAGGTTCCAACCGCGTGCTGGAACGTGGTTGCCAAGAAGAGCAAGGAGGAGGGGCTCCTGATGCTACAGAGTCACATCCACGTCCTCAGGCTCAGGCAGTGCTATTACGACAAGCAGAAGCACGACAGCCCCCAGATGTACAAACTTCAGTTCATGGTCTTGGCGCAGCAGCAGGTGGTGATGATTAGCGACAGCGACGCGAAAGATATCATGCCTCTTCACGACGCGCTGTGCCACATCATGCTGCACCTGGGAATCAAATGCAAGGCTGGCAGCGCACCACGGGGAGCCCTCGAGCGCGACGCGGAGATTCTGCTAGCCAAGATAGGCATCAGCAACAGGAACGTTCAGGATCAGGTCAGAGACTCCAAGAAGAAAAAAAAAAGAAGGGGCGCAAGGCCAAGGAGGCCGACTGAACGATGAGATAGAGAGACACTGTAGGTGAGGTTTTTCCGATGTTTCATGTTTCTGGCGAAGCTGTCGAAACCGACTTAGCATTGGAGGATCTTCAAAGTAGAGATGCTAGAGCTCAGACCCGCGCCACGGATCTCCTCCTCGCCCCTGTCGTTTACCCTTCTCCCTTCCCGCTCCTGGACCCCTCTGCCCTCACGAATCCAAATCCCACGGAGCAGGGAAATACTTGTAGGATAGCGAGTTCATGACTCGCTTCCTGGTGCTTCTGGAGGTCGGCCTAGAGGCTTCCCCACAACGGTCGTCCCTCTTTAAGCCAGAGGAGTTCCCCAGCGAAGCCGCTTGTAGGCGCTATACGGCGCAACACAGAGCCACCCAATATTACAAGCCTGCTGGCAGGAGTAGGTCGTTTTTTTTCCCACAGGGTTTCTGACCCGAAACCATGGCTTGCAAGTGGTCTGATCTGATCCTCCTGCTGCTGCTCCTCCTCCTCCCCGCGCAGCCCTCCTCCTCCTCCTTCTCCTCCTCCTCCTCTTCCTCCTCCTCCTCCTCCAACACGCGGAGCCCTCCCCCTCCTCCCCCTCCCCCTCCGCCGCCTCCACTAAGCCTCCTCTCTCTCTCGCAGCGGCGTCTGCCATCCCCGCTCCACCCTCCGTGCTGCCGCGCGCCGGCGCGGGCGCGCCAACGGCCACGCGTTGGCAGACCCGATCCAGAGACGAGGAAGGGGGAAGAGGGAGGTCTCCTTGCCACCATCCGTTCTCCTGAGGCCCACTGGTCCTGCTCCCCCTCCTTTTCGATGCTAGGCAAACTAGAGGCGACAGCCTGGAGCGTGCATATCCTCCCCTTCTCCTCCTCCCCCGCGGACGCGGCGGCGGAAGCTCGCCACGCCCGCGGCGCCGCCCGCGGGGGCGGCCGGCGGCGCCGGGGCGTTCCGAGGTGCGCCCGCCTGCCGCGCTCCAGTCGGGGGGGGGGGCGCGCAGAGGGCCGCCGAGAGTCCCACCCGAAGCCAATCGAGAACTCACGGCGGACTTCAGCCAAGATCTTGCCGTGACGCCACGCACTGGTCGGGGTGGGCGAAACGGGGGGCAGGATAGCAAAGGGTAGGATAGAGAATCAGCTCACGTGGCTGGGGTTCCTGCGGCCTCCTGGCGACAGGGAGGCGCCCAATGTTCGAGGAACGGGCCCGGCGGCGGGGCCGAAACCAGCTATGTGCAGCAGACTTCGTGAGACCCCCTTTCCTTCTCCTGCTCTCGCGTCAGGCCCGAATTGGGCTCAGGCCCCTTCCGCAGCTCGTGGCGGCCACGTTTTCTTATCGCACGTTGCCTCTCGCCGACCCTGCAACAAAAAACAGTGCACGAAGGTGATGGGCAAATGTTCCACCAGCACTGCCGTATGTAGGACGGGGGAGACGGGAGGATGAGGAGGTCCTCCTCCTCCTCCTCCTCCTTCTCCTCCTTCTCCTCCTCCTACCCGTGGTAGTGGTGGTGGAATATGGGCCCAGAAGAAGGATCTGGTTTTTGTTGGGGGGGAGGGCGCGGAGGGCCGCCGAGGGGGGCGGCGCCGCGGCGGCCGCAGGCGCGGGCGCCGTTCTTGTCCGGCGAGGAGCCGCGCCGTGGCGCGCAGCACAGGGACGGGCGGACACAGGAGACTACATGGGCCCAGGGACACACACACACAGACAATTAGACACAAATCCCAAGATGTTCCCAGAGCTCCCAGATGTTTTCAGGGTGTTCGCCTTTCCCCCCCCCCCCACGTCCCGTCTGTTTTTCGCCTATTCTCCTGGGAGTCGACGATAACCACAGTGACTGCGTATGTGTTACTTTCCCCTCCTGGAGGACGGCGGCCGCGGAGGAGGAAAAGGGAATGATGGGCAACATTTCCATCACCACTACCATATGTAGGCCGGAGGAGAAGGGAGGAGGAGGAGGAAGGAGGAGGAGGAGGAGGCCATCCTCCTCCTCCTCCTCCTCCTCCTCCTCCTACATATGGCAGTGGTGGTGGAAAATGGGCCCCTCAGGGAAGGCTCCCGCCCGAGACGAGGCGAGGCACTCGGCGGAGGAGGGGAGCCCAGGCGGCCTCCCTCGGGCACCAGAGCGTGTGTGTGTGTGTGTGTGTGTGTGTGTGTGTGTGTGTGTGTGTGTGTGTGTGTGTGTGTGTGTGTGTGTGTGTGTGTGTGTGTGTGTGTGTGTGTGTGTGTGTGTGTGTGTGTGTGTGTGCGTGCGTGTGTGTGGCACGAGCGGGGGGAGCAGGAGGAGCAGGCCGTCGAAGTACAGTAGGGGCTCGACCGCAAGAAGGGGGAGGGGAAGGAGGAGGAGGGGGAGGAGCAGGATGATGATGATGATGATGATAATGATGATGATGATGATGATGATGATGATGATGATGATGATGATGCTGATGATGATGATGATGATGATGAGGAGGAGGAGGATGTTGTTACTGATGGTGATGATGATGCTGATGATGATGCTGATGATGCTAGTGATGATGATGATGATGATGATGATGATGATGATGATGATGATGATGATGATGATGATGATGATGATGATCAGGAGGAGGAGGAGGAGGAGAAGGAGAAGGCCGTCGAAGTACAGCAGGGGCTCGACCACAATAATCAGGGGGCCCAGGGACACACAAATGAATAGACGCAACGCCCAAGGTTCCCTCTATTTTCTGATATTTTCAGAATTGTCGTCTTCCCCCGCCTCCCATATTTTACTATGTTTTCCTGGGAACCGACGATGCATTGTTTCTGTGATTATTTGCCCCTCCTGAACGAAGCCTTCCACCAGAAACCCATCCCTGAGACCCCAGGACGCCCATTTGTTTTGGGTGTGGGGACGCCACGCTCTCCACAGCAGAACCATCGAAACCCAAGACGCCCAGGGCAGCCTGGAGGCGAGCAGGGTGTTTCTCGGTATGGGTCTCCTCTGTCTGTCGAGGGCGGCTAGGCGAGAGCCTGAATTACGCGATCGCCACACGCCAGCACAGCCGAGGGGGAAAGGGGGAACTAAGGAAGAGGGGCACGACCACCAGCAGCTCGGAAGAGTGCCCGGGGGGGGGTCCTCGCGCTGGCGGGGTGGTCCCCCCCCCCTCCCGTCTCGAGGGGACCCGCACCCCCCGCTCGGGGAGGCACCGTGTGCCTCTTCGCGGTGGTGGCGTCGGTATTTTGGTCCTCCGCCGAGTGGGCGTGCCAGAGTTTGGCGATGCTTGGGGGGCAATAAAATAGTGCGGGGATGGGGCCAGTTTTGTGGAAATCTTCGACCACAGCCCAAATCATTTTGCGGGTTCGGGGGCCGAGCTTTCTTCTCGCCTGTTGCCGCATGCGGGGTCGGGCCCGCCAGCATCCGCCGAGGCAAAGGTGTCGACTTCTTTTAGGTCGGGCGTATCCTCCTACATGGGGGGCTTTGGACGACGAATGACATTCGCCAAAAAATAATTCAAATATGCTCAAAAATATGCTTAAACATCGTCCACAGACAATGCTTTTAACTACTGTCCGATATTCCTCCTGTAGACGGACACGTCCGACTTAACGCCAGCTTCCGCCGAGGCAAAGGTGGCAACTTCTTCGACCCTCGAGGACGGAGCCTATCTTCCCTGGGCCGCCCCACGTGCCGCCCCCCAGTGCAACTCGCCCGGCGAGATGGCGCCGAGGGGCCGCCGAAGGGCGCCGCCGCCGAGTTGGCCGGGGGAGGAGCGCGGCCCCGAGGAGGAGGGGGGTCGGAGACGTCGGCGTCGAAGGTGTCAGCGCCTCAGTTTCGGGGGCGCTTCCTGCGTGAATGGTTCGCAGATGCGGCGCGGGCATCGGGGAAGAAAGGCCGATGGGTCATGGGCCCAGGGCCTGGGAGCCAGTGGCACGCCGCGTGAAGTTTGGCCACGGATATCACCGACGCCCTCGTCAGATAAGGCCCCCCAAGGTCTGAAGCTTCCTAGGTACACGCCTCAGCGACGAACGCCCCCACCGTCTTCACCGCCACGTCTAGAGGGACCAGCAGCCACGTCTCCGGGCTGGGGTATCCGCGCCGCGGCGGCGGCTAACGTTCGCACACAGCGGCGATCAGAAGAGACGGTCTTGGGATGACAATGAAAAGCCTCGCCCCCAACATGACTCCAGTGAAACGCATACATGACTGGCGCATGCTGGAACGACGCACAGCAATTCAGCACGGGCTGAAAATGAGAACACGGACGGCGGCACAACTCCCTGAGTTCTTGGCGGCTCGTCTCCAGCCCACAAGCGGGGATCAAACCATGCAAATCGAGGTACAAAGTACAACAAAACACATGTTGAGGCAGCTCGACAGAAATCAAATCCAATCTGGGGAAATCGTGGAAGCCTGGGCTCAAACCGAACCGAAGGACACGTGAAAACGCAAAGTGGGCCATTGACTACCAGCGCACCTGCCCGCGCACGCTTTATAGGGAATCGAACTCTATACACCGACGCTCCTTCTGGCACTGCACCAAAATTTGCACTGGAGAGCGGATCCTGGTGTATACGGAACCCTGGTGTATACATTTTTCGTTGTTTCCCCGGGACATCGGGGAAACAAGTATACACCACACCACCCTAGCGTCGTCCTCGACCCTCAAGAAATCCTGGGATTGAAAAACAGCCCGCCACTGGTCATGTATATGTTCCAATCTCCGACTTTACTCCTCCGCGGCGACGAAACGGCGGCCGGCCATCCACTAGGGGAGCCCTCTTCGGCCACAATTGCAACGTAAGGTGTGCCGCTTGCATTCACACCGATCGGGCATTGTTCAATGGGGGGGCAACAAACGGGTGGATGAAGACACGTGCGCCTGGCGTGCACATTCGAGGTTCCAGGAGGCCTCGTTCGGGCCTTTTTCTGACAATCCCCGGTCCCCTCCATGTACCCATGTGCCGCCCCCCCTTACGAAGCGGCCAGACCGAGACCGAGTAGTTCAGCTAGGGTATTACAAGAAAAATGGTGCAAGAAACAATGTAAAGTGCAGGCCTGATGCGAGTCGCTTCTGGCGCACAAGGGTTTCTGGAGAGCGCTCACTTCTGACGGCCAACCCGCTGTGTAACCCGTGATTGTGGACGCAAGACGGAGGGGGGATGTTCTATTCCACCGCAGAACAAACACATCCACGTTCGTAGTCCGCTCAGGTCGGGCGGCGGGGGGCGCGCGGAACTCAGAGGAAGAAGAACCGCAAGAGAGCATGACCACAATGCAAGAGAGGCAGCAGGGGGGCGAACAAGCTGGGGATGCCCTGGAAGGACGGAGGAGGATGAGCCCGCCGGCGCGCCAGAGATGGCATGGCCAAGGGGGGGGCTACCCAGCACTCCTGGAAAGCAGCGGGGGTCTTTGGGGCTCTGGGGGCGCTCCCGTCAACAATGCATGCCCCGCATACCTCGGGTCGGGCGGGGAGCGCGCCTTAGAAGGCCGATCTTCTGATCAAGCTCGTGGCTGAGACACTGTAGCGGGCCGCACACTTGCTGGCCTGCCTGCATGCCTGTTCGCCTGTCAACCTGCTCCGCCCGCTGCCTGCAGGGCCCAGCATCCGATGTGACAAATATCCTGACGAAAGACCCAACCATATGCACTTGTGAGTACCGCGTTGTGGTCATCGCTTTCGGTGGAGCCCCCATGGGGCAACGAAGCGTGTGATGGGTGTGCCGAGATGGGTGGGGAACCGTATGCGACCTGCGCTACGGAGGCACTCGGTAGAGCTCCATATGGGGCCACGAAAGGTGTGAGCGGTGTGCCGAAAAGAGCGTGACACCCACATGCGAACTGCGTCACGGGGGCACTGGGTGGAGCCCCCTATGGGGCCACGAAACGTGGGAGTGGTATGCCGAAACGGGCGTGACGCCCACGTGCGAACTGCGCAAAGGAGGCACTCGGTGGAGCTCCCCATGGGTCCACGCAACGTGTGAGGGTTGTGCCGAATCGGGCGTGACGCCCACATTCGAACTGCGCTACCGTAGCACTCGGTTCAGCTCCCTGTGGAGCCACGAAACGTGCGAGGAGGAGTGTACCGAAACGGGTGTGACGCCCACGTGCGAACTGCGCAACGGAGGCACTCGATGGAGCCCCCTATGGGGCCACGAAAAGTGTGAGAGGTGTGACGAGACGGGCGTGACGCCCACATTCCAACTGCGCTACAGTGGCACTTGTTTAAGCGCCCTGTGGGGCCACGAAACGTGCGAGGGGTGTGCCGAGACGGGAGTGACGATGGAGGATGGAGGAGGGGGAGGAGGAGGAGAAGGCGTGACGTGTGGCGCTGTCTCCTCAAAACGAGGACCCAATACCACAAGATAGTTGGGAAAAACATGACCACATGGCACCCTGAAGAACCGACGGGAGACCCCCGAGACCCCACCTTCACGAGGGATCCCCAGGACCAGGCACGCCCATCACCAGGGCCTCGCGAGGCCCGAACACGCGGGGGGCAAGACAGCGCGTCGTGAGTCTTGCGGCGACGCCCTCTCGCGCGCCACTCGCGCGCGCGCGACTCGGGGCGGACAGAGCCCCCTTCAGCAGGTCACCCTCCCGTGAAAACGACGCTGGACCAGGGCCCGGCGGGAGCAGGCCCGCAAAAAGGGCGGCTGCAACACCCCGCCGAGAGCCGACAGAATGTAACAAGTTGCGCTGCAGCCCAGCGTGCTGCCACAAGGAGCGCCAACTCAGGAGCGATGAGGCTTTTCGACAGGGGTCGACTCCTCCGAGTGCCTCTGAACTTTTCTGGGGTCGGGGATCTACCCAAGACATGATCGTGCCGTGAAAAAATCAGGACGGGAGGCTGTTGACAATTTACAGCCTCAGGGGGCCCTCGCCGAGCCTCGGAATCATCAAAAACGACTCAAGATGAAAAACCGGACCCAGGGAAATGGTCGAGACTTCCAGGGACCCCGCATTGAGAAAATCAAGACGTCGCATGTCTGAAACTGACCCGGGTCAATCCAATCCGAGCCAGTCGGGCCTTGCAGGATCCTGCAAGATCCTGCAGGACCCTGCAGGATCCTGCACGCGAAACGGGGTCAGTGCAACCCTGGCTCCGCGGGATCCTGCAAGATCTGGCGCTCTGACTGACTCCCCCCTTTGCATTGACCCCCGTCTTAGCGACCCCTCTGGGGCTGCACGGAAGCGCTCCCGGGACTCTGGGGGACCACACAGAGGCCTGGAGCTTCAGCACTGGCTCCCGAAGGCCTGTTGAGGTCCCCCAAGCCCCCGCGGCGTGGCCACAGGCCCTCTGATGTGAGAAGGAATGCAGGGGCCGTCTTGGGGTCCTCTTGTGGCTCTCTTGTGGCTCTCTTGGGCCTTCTTGGGGCGGTCTTCGGGGCCTCTTGGGACGTCTTGGAGCGTCGGGAGCTCCTACAAAGGCGAGAACCCTAAAAACATTGAAACCGCAAGGCGAATCAATGAGAAAGGAACGAACCCCCCCTATGGCCCCCCGGGATCTTGTCTGTACCCCGCCCCCTCCCTAAGGTTGCCCTTGACCTGGTTTCTACTTTTCGGGCTATAGGCCGGGTCTCCCGTGTCCGTTCGGGGCGATTCGGGCAACCCCGGACCGCCCTCGGCGAGGCGCAGCCGCGGGAGAGCGTCCCGAGGAGGCCAGGAAACCTCCGAGGACAGACGTCGACTGCCGAAACACCTCCCGCCGTGATCGCGATGAGCGCTCGAGCGGCGCGGCGGCGGGCCCGCCTCGGGCGCGGCCCGGAGCTGCGCCTCCAGGGACGCGGCCCGGGCCTCCGCCGCGGCGGCCCTGGCCTTCAGCTCCTGCTCCAGGGCCCCGGCCTGCCGAGGAGGGGGCCGTCCCTGGCCCTCTCGGGCCTCGGAGGATCGAGGGCGGTGCGGCTCCTGGACGTGTCTCGGACGCTGCCCCGCGCGTGGCCCCTCGACCGCCGCAAAGACGGGCCCAGAGGCCCGGCACGGGAGCGAGTGGCGCAGTCCACGTTTCCGAGGGCGAGCCGCCACCCAGTTCCCCACTCCTTCGGGCCCGCAGGGAGCCGGACGAGGCGCCTGGGGCGCGTGTGGCGCGTGGGGGCCCCTGGCCCCACCCTGGCCTCTCGGAGCTCGAGGCCCCTGGGCCTGCCTGCAAGGTCGTGTGGGCATTTTTGGGGGGCGCTGCCTGGGTCTCCTGAGGCCTGCGGGGGCCTCCGGGGAGAAGTAGTCCTGGGGTCCAGATCCGGGACGGAAGCAGAACTCACCACCACCACTCCTCGCCTCCCTGGGTCAGATCCGCATTCCTCTCCGTCGTCCTCTTGCTCTTTCTCCTGGTTCTCATCAGAATCCTCCTCGTCTTCCTCTATACATCGCTTGCTCCGCCTCCTAGTCGTCATCATCGTCATCATCAGTCCGCCACCGTTGCCCCGTGGCACCCTGGAGCGTGCCAGAAGGCCAAGTGCTGTCTGGCAGGCTTCTGAAATGTTCTGAGCCCTGCCTCCTCCCTTCTCCCCGCACACAGCGGCATGCACCAGCCCCTCTGCCCCACGAGGCTACAGCCCCTCGAACAATACGACAGGTTCGCGCCACCGAGGCCCAAGTGCCTCCAAGACGGCCCAAGATGGCTCCAGGCAACGTTGGCCTCAAGACGGCCCAATCTGGCTTCAAGACGGCCCACGAGGCCTTCGAGGCGTTCCACGAGAGCCCCACGAGCCGTTCCAGGAGGGCCTCGAGCAACAGTCAAGCATTCTCGATCGGTTTTGCCATGTGCTCGGGGATCTCGCCTTGTCGAGAGTCCCGCGTCCCAAGACGATCCGTAGGCCCCCAAGACTGCCCTAAGACGGCCGCAGCCCAAGAGGGCCCCAAGACGGCCCCAAGAAGGGCCCACGAGGGGGAACACGAACAGACAATTCGAGCCTTCCGCCCCAAGAGGCCTCAGGAAGCCCTAAGAGGACAAAAGAGGCACCCAAGATGGCCCCGAGAGACACATCATTGACTATATTTTTTGTTTGTTTGCATTTGTGGGTCCTCGCCGTTTCGAGCTACCGACGCTCCGGCTCAAGAGGCCCCCAAGAGAGCTCCAAGACGGCCCAAAGAGGCGCGCAAGACGGCTCAGGAGGGCCCAAGACGGCCAGAAGAAGGGCACCGAGGGGGGAAGCACGAACCAACAATCTGAGCCTTCCGCCGACGGAGGCCCCCAGCAGGCCCCGGGCGGTACAAAAGAGGCGCCCCGAGGGCCCCGAGAGGCAGAATGAATATACGCCCCGTCGGTTTTCAAAGTTTGTTGGAAGTCTCGCCTCTTCGAGCTTCCCGCGCTCCAGGACGGCCCAAGAAGCCCCCGAGACTGCCCCAAGAGGGCCCAGGAGGCCCCCTAGAGAACACCAAGACGACCCATCAGGGTCGGCCACGAGGGGGGCGTCCTAGAGGGGGGGCAGGGGGGGGGGCGCAAGTCATGGCCAGCGGCATGTGCGAGGCCCAGGGGGGGGGGCCAGGGACGTAATGAAATAAGAAGAGGCGCCATGAAATCTGAGGAAATATCATGGCCCACGCCATGATATCCACCCCCCCCCTAGACATCACCCCCCTCTTTGCCGCCCCCGAACCCAGCGGGGGGCTCCAGGGCAGCCCTCGGGGCGCCGAGAATACGCCCACGACGGCCCCCCAAGACGGCCCAGGAAGCGCAAGGAGAGGGAGCACGAACCAACAAATCGAGCCTTCCGCTCCAGGAGGTCTCTCCAGGAAGCCTCCAGGAGGCACAACAGGTGCCGCGAGGCTGCCGGAAGTGAGGTCCATGGGGATCTCTCCTGGCGCGAAGGCGAAAGGTGTCACATGTGGCGGCGTTCCATCCTCCTCCTCCTCCAACTCCTCCTCGTCCTCCTCTTCCTCCTCCTCCTCCTCCTCCTCCTCCTCCTCCTCCTCCTCATCATCATCATCATCATCATCATCATCATCATCATCCTCATCATCCTCATCATCATCAGCAGCATCATCATCATCATCATCAGCATCAGCATCAACAACATCGTGATCATCATCATCGTCATATTTACCCTCGTCCTCCTCTTCCTCTTCCACATCCTCCCTCGCATCATCGTCATCGTCAGCACAGACAGCACGACAATCATCAGCATCAGTATCAGCATCATCATCAGCATCGTCATAATCAACAGCAGCAGCATCAGCATCAGCATCAGCATCAGCATCATCAATATCATCATCAACATCAGACTGCTCATCATCATGGACATCAGCAGCATCAACATCATCATCAACATCATCATCACCCTCATCCACCTCCTCTTCCTCTTCAGCACCATCATCACACCCCGCACAGTCCGCGTCCTCATTCTTATCACCACCACTGACATTAACGTCGTCATCATCATCATCATCATCATCATCATCATCATCACCGTCGTCATCATCATCCTCATCATCCTCCTGAGTATCGCCATCGTCAGCAACACCATCATACAAAATCACCAGCACCATCATCATACGATCCTCATCATCACCATGGCCCCTGACAGGCTCTCAGACTTGAACGCGCATCAACACCCCAAGTCCACCAAGGTCCCACACGTGACGGCGTCAAGCACCTTGCTCCCATAACCGCCCGAGACGGTTCTACAAAAAGCGCGCCACGAGTTGCGGCTCTCCGAAGTCCGGGGATACAAGATGGCACACGTTAGGACTTGCGTGCTCCCTCGCGCACAGACCACCGAGAGAGCCGGGCTGGCACGGTGGCAAAACTTGCCGCAGGCATCTAGCTATTATCACCCTCATGTCGATCATCAACCATCACCACCATCTTGCCACATGCATCGTCCCGCTGCTGTTCCCGCTCTCATCCCCTCCCCACCTCTCCTCCTCCGCCCCCTGACAGTCGCTGGAGGTCCTTGCTTGCGGAGGTCTCCAAAAGCCTCCACTGACAACAAACAATCCAACAAAGATGGGAGAACATGCAAAACATAGATTCTCTTCTCCTGATCTGTCTGTTTCTATACAGTCGGCCACGCAACTGAGCAGCGGGGATTTACTCATAACCGTCGCCTGGGGGATCGATCTGAATTCGCCCCCTCCATATCAACCGCCCGCCGAGGCCAACCGGATCATGCAATCTCACGCACGCAGCTTAGGCACGAATGTCGGCGCAGTCGAACCCGATCATCTGCGTCGCTTACCTGCCCCCTGCTGTCGCGGTGCCTCCCTGAAGATGGGAAGGCTTGAGCCAGGAACGAACAGGGCGCTTCTGGCCACGACGAGCCTCGACCACGAGGCGGCTCCCCGAGACCCAGGTCTGAGGAGCAGCCCAGAAGCCCAAGCCCCTCATGCAACTAAGGTGGTCTTTGTTTCAGCGTCTTGGCTGTGCTCTTCTTCCTGCGCCCCCCTCTCCTGCTCGGGTGCTCCTCTCGCCGTTGGGGCCTCTGGGGTGGCCGTTCTCGGGCCCGTGGGGCCGTCAGCAACCAGCCCGCGACCCTCGACGAAGGGCTGGGCTCGGAGACGGGGGTCGAGAGCTGAAGAACACAGCTTCAGGGTCTCCGTCTGTCGCCGTCGCTTACCTCTGCTCTTCGTCGTCCTCTGCTGCTGAGAGGACTGACCATGGCATCGCGGAAATGAAGAACTTGTTTCGTGAGTCACAAACACTCGGGTCCACGAAGCAGACTTCAAAATTGAATGCACATGGCACCGCCTGTACACTCAGAACGGGCAGTGGCAACGCAGGCTTGGGGGAGCAAGTCCCTGGGAAATTGACACAAGCGTGGATGCCTCAAGCCAGAAAGTCTCGGAGCTGGCAAACCAATTCGGCAAAGGATGGGCCGAATACGCAATGATGCAAGGGAACACGTGCTGAGGCTCTGTACCCAGACTGCGGCGTTTGACTGGACCACTCTGGCGCCGAACATGCTCAGTCCTCCTGGGAAGCCCCCGCGGAGGTAAGCCTTCGGCAGGGTCGACTGTCGGTTCGAAGCGGGTGGGTGCCTCGACTGCTGCTGGGTCTCTCGCAGCGGTTCCCGGTGATCCTCTGCGTGGGGAGACCCCGCGGAGACAAATCCTCTTGACACCCTCGGCAGGATCGCCTTTCGGTGCGAAGCAGGCCTGCGCCTCGCCTGCTGAAGCGCCGTGGCGGCTACCTGGTCGGGGTGCTGCTACTCTAACCAGCCTTGAACGTTTCCCTACCCCCAGGATTGACAGGCCAAAAAACGAGGACAATCTTAGGAACGCGCCCTCAAAAACGGAGGAAACCCCTGAGATCGGCATCGAGAAGAGGCGATGCCAATCATAGGGATAGGGAGATGTTCCAGGCTGGTGATACTCGGCGTGGGAAGACCCGCGGAGGCAAGCTCGGTGCACACCTTGAGCCTTCGGACAGGTCGGCGTCCCGTTCGAAGCAAGCCTGCGCCTCGCCTGCCGGGGCTCTCGCAGCGGCACCCGGTGATCCTCGGCGCACCATGGACTCGGCGGCGAGCCCTGCGGGGACGTGAGAAGGATAATGCCTTCTCAGAAGGCTCAGAAGTCTCAAAGGGGTTCTACGCCTTCCCCGAAGAAGCGGGAAACTTCTCAGCAGGCGCGAGGGCTTCTGAGAAGTCCCGCCGCTTTCAGAGAAGGCCCTCGCCTTCTCACCTCCCCCCCTCGCTCGCCGCCGATAGACGTCCGTAATTATGAGGCTCCCGAAATCCGAGCTCACACTCTGGGATCACGAGCGACAGCCGTGCGTCGACACCGCCCCCGGCCAGGCCCATCGTGGGCACAGGATCGATGTAATCACATGGATACCTGGCCTGGCCAGGAAGGCACATGCGACGATGCTGGGCCCATCTGATTGACGACCTACCAGACCACCCCAACCCAACCAGAAGACCCGAACTTCGGTTTTGAGGGGGTACGGGCTTCACATGTGTTTGTTCATGATCCCCGACCCCCCTCTGACTGGGAAATGAAGGCAAATTGGGGCCTTCGGGTTGGATTGGGGTGGCTTGGTAGGTGGTGACTGATGGGTCTGGCCAGGGCTGCTGCAGGAGTGCAGCTCACGCCCTCCGAATACGAAAAGCCACGCCCCGTGTTCGCACAGCCTGGCCTCCAAACGCATCCGTCCACGTGGCCCTCCGCAGAGACCCGGACCCTCCAACTTGAAGTCGTCCAAGGGATCTGCACTGGTTGGGACCCCAGAGTATCAGTTAGGAGAGAGGATGAAGCCAAATCCGGTCAAATTCGGTCCCCAGACCCTTCCATGGGTCCTTCTGATCCACCTTGACCCCTCGGAGGCGAGACCCCAGACGAGCAGGAACGAAGCACGGTGCGTGTCTGCGAGGCAAAGATTTATACATCGCCGCTGGCTGGGGGAATCGATCTACGGGGACGTCGGGAGGCGGTGGGTCTGGATATGTCCCGGCACTCCCGGGGCCAAAGTACATAACCGCTGCCTGCACGAGCCCCGAAGATCGATGCCCCATGCGTGAATAATGGATCCGCCACCCTGCGTTGTGCACCCTGAGGCGACGAAGATCGCCGCCAAGGTCTGTCTGGAAGGGCTTCTGCATTCTAAAAAAAACTCATGGACGCTACCGCCCCCTATCCGCGTCCAGCCCCATGCACTGCCTCCCCTTCCGAGGCCACGCTGCCTCCAGAAAACTGAAAGGTCCGCAATCCTGGCGCCAAGATCCTTCGTGAAAAAACACTGTGTCCGCGTCCCGAGCTTCCCAGACGGTCCAGGCAGACAGCCAAGGACAGCAAGATAGTCCAAGATGGCTCGAGGACGGCGTAAGATGGCCCCAAGGCGGCCCAGCATGGCTTCAAGGCGGCCCGAGATGCCTCCAAGAGGGCCAAAAAGAGCCACAGGCGGATCTTCGAGAGGGTCTGGAGAAGCCAAAATCAGTGATCCTCCTTTCTGGTGTGTGATTGTTCGCGTTCTCTCCTTTTCGGGTCTCCGTCAGCTGAGGACGGAACAAGGCGCCTCCACGAGGGTCCCAAAATGGCCCAAGCGAGTCCCAAGATGGCAACAGAGATCCGACTTTGGCCCAAGAGGCATCCAAGACGGCCCCAAGACGGCCCAAGAGGGCCTCCAGTGGGACCCAAGACGGCCTTGCGACGGTCCCAGATGGCCCCCGACATCCACCATATGGCCAAGAAGGCTCCAAGACGGTGCAAGATTGCCCGAAACGGCCCAAGAGGGAGTTCCATGATAGCTCCTCAAAAAAAGAAACCGAAAGGTGTCACATGTGATGGCTTTCCTCTTCCTCCTCCTCCTGCTGCTCCTCCCCCTCCTCGTCATAATCATCATTATAATTATCCATCACCACAATCAGAACACTCATCACCATCCTCAACCTGATCATGCTTATTAGCGTCATAATTACCACCATCATCACCATCTCAATCACCATCGCCATCGCCATCGCCATCGCCATCACCATCAACATCACCATCATCATCGTCATCATCAGCATCACCATCACCATCATCATCATCATCATCATCATCAGCATCATCAACATCATGCTAACCATCACCATCACCATCACCATCACCATCATCAGCATCATCATCTTCATCTTCATCATCAGCATAAACACCGTCAGCATCAACATCATCATCAACCTTCTTACCATCATAACATCATCATCATCATCATCGCCATCACCCTTATCATCATCATCAGCATCAACATCAGCATCATCATCACCATCATCATCATCATCATCATTATCATCATCCGTACCATGAACATTGCCGCCAACACCATCATCAACAGCAACATGCTCATCATCACCATCACCAACACCAATAACGTTGTCATACGAATTATCATCAGCATCACCACCGTCATCATCACCATCATCATCATCATCATCATCATCATCATCACCATCACCATCACCATCACCATCACCATCACAATCATCATCCTCACCAACACCATCACCATCACCATCATCGTCATCACTTTCATAAGCCTCATCCTCGTCCTCGTCCCCATCCACAGCCTCATCCTCATCACCACCACCACCATCAACACCACCACCACCATCATCGTCACCTCGGCTCTCCCAGCCCTGGAGACACGAGGTGTCACGCGTGACGGCCTGACGCGCCCCCTCGAACCATCGCCACCCAGAATGCTGGGAGACGTAAGACTCGGGTGCGAGGGACTCGGGTTGGCCTGGGTACGAGCCCCCATCTGAAACTTGACGCGGGCTCCCGCTGCAGGCATCCCACGGAAACGGGACCGCCAACATCCAGGACGCGCTCGTCAAACCACTTCGGGAAACCCGAGTTCCCGCTTGCTCGAGTCTTACGCTTCCCCGACAGAATGCCGGGCCGGCCCGTGGTGCCAGTCTGGCGGCGTGGGCCGCGCCTCCGCGAGCCTGCCCTCCAGCGCGGCTGCCTTCGCGAGGGCCTCCGCCAGCGCGGCCTCCGCGGCGGGGCCCGGGCCCGGCCGCCGACGTCCAGCGGGGTCCCCAAGGAGCGGCGAGTTGGCTCCCACAAGCGGCCGGGCCAACGCAGAGGGCTCCCCAATCAGAAGAAGGGAAAACGCCATAAACACAAACTTTTGGCGCTCCGCGCGGAGTTCTTGGATCTGCGCTGGACCCCCTCCCCGGCGCGCGGAGCGCGCCAGGGGCGGCGCCGGAGGCGCGCTGAGGGGGGGCCCAGCGCGGATCCAAGAAATGCCCGCGGAGCGCCAAAAGTTAATGTTTACGGCGTTTTTTCTTCTTCGACTCTTCGACCAATGGGGTCCGAGTCGATGGCGTCGGAGGATCGCGCCGCATCGCCGAGGCATCTGCAAAATGTATCACCGATGCAATGGCGATGCCTCGGCGGCGTCGGCGGTGCATCGCCACGGTGTCGGCGTGGAGAGGCACACTCGGGCTCCACGTCGAGCCGCATCGCCGATGCATTGGCGATGCGGCGTGATCCCCCAACACCAACTGCTCCGACACCATCTTCAGAAGAGGAAATGGTACCCATACCTCTACCCTTCCCTGGTGTTCCCCTTTTTGGGCCTCCTGGGCGGCCCTCGTCACCACCGCTGGACTCGCCTCGAAATCCTGGTCAGAACGCACTCCGAGAGAGGTCAAGAGAGTAGCGGTATCGATATCTTTTGGTTTCCCCACATCTGGGAGACCTGAACTACAGGCGGGACGCATCCGAAGCTAGGTACAGCAAAAGCCAAGGAGGGGCAGGAGGGTTCCATCGACGAAAGCACAACAGAAAGACGACTGCTCACTCACGCGGGCCCACGTCGCGCTAACGCCGGCGTTCGATTCCGACACCGCGCAGATCTGCTTCAGTATTGAGCGACCGCGGCTTAGCGACAGCACAGACGAATATTGACAGAAGGCCATTTTGTAAAACGCCCGTTAGTTGAACGCTGCCAGGGGCACTCCACGTGCGCACGGCATCAAAATCCGAGTGGGCCCCAGCGGGGCAGCCAACCGACGTCTAAACACAACCGAATGTATCCAGCGAGACGCACGTCGATTAGCCAAATCGACTGGTGACTGCATGACCTTAGACGTTCTTAAAAGCACTGGGTTTTTTTCCCCCCCGTTTTCAAGATCGACGTGTTATGTTCTGTTTTGGGCGCAATTTGTTTTCCGTGTTTGGATTGCCGTCTCGCCGTCTTCGGCTCGTTCTACGATTCGTTATTTTATCGTTGTCAACTGCCGTTTTGTGCCCGTTTGCGTCGCGGCGTGGCAGCATAGTTCCTACCTGGGGGCGTGTAGTTGTTCTGGTTTGGCTCTCCGATCGTTGTTTCCCAACCACCCTGTGGTGTTGGGTCCTCGTTTTGAAAAAACGGTGCCCCGCGTTCCTCCTTCCTCCTCCCTCCCCCCGTCCTCTCAGCATCATCATCGTCCCCGCCGCTCATTTCGGCACACCCCTCACACGTTTCGGGGCCCCATAAGAGATCCGCCGAAGGTCCCTGTGGCACAGTCCGCATGCGTCCCCGCCACTCATTTCGGCCCACCCCTCACACGCTTCGTGGCCCCATAGGAGCTCAGCCGAAGGTCCCCGCGGCACAGTCCGCATGCGTCCCCGCCACTGATTTCGGCACAACCCTCACATGCTTCGTCGCCCCATAGGAGCTCCGACGGAAGTCCGAGTGGCAAGGTCCGCATGTGCCCCCGCCAATAATTCCGGCACACCCCTCACACGTTTCGTGGCCCCATAGAACTCCGCCGAAGGTCCCAGCGGCACAGTCCGCATGCGTCCCCGCCACTCATGTCGGCACACCCCTCACACGTTTCGTGGCCCAATACGAGTTCCGCCGAAAGTCCCGGTGGCGCAGTCCGCATGCGTCCCCGCCACTGATTTCGGCCCACCCCTCACACGTTTCGTGGCCCCACAGGAGCTCCGCCGAAGGTCCCAGTGGCACAGTCCGCATGCGTCCCCGCCACAAATTCTGGCACACCCCTCACACGATTCGTGGCCCCATAGGAGCTCCGCCGAAGGTCCCAGTGGCACAGTCCGCATGCGTCCCCGCCACTCATGTCGGCACACCCCTCACACGTTTCGTGGCCCAATACGAGTTCCGCCGAAAGTCCCAGTGGCACAGTCCGCATGCGTCCCCGCCACTCATGTCGGCCCACCCCTTACACGCTTCGTGGCCCCATAGGAGCTCCGCCGAAGGTCCCAGTGGCACAGTCCGCATGCGTTCTCGCCACTCATGTCAGCACACCCCTTACACGCTTCGTGGTCCCATAGGGAGCTTCGCCGACGCTCCCACTGGCACAGTCCGCACGCGTCCCCGCCACTCATTTCGGCCCGCCCCTCACACATTTCGTGGCCCCACAGGAGCTCCGCCGAAAGTCCCAGTGGCACAGTCCGCATGCGTCCCCGCCACTCATGTCGGCCCACCCCTTACACGCTTCGTGGCCCCATAGGAGCTCCGCCGGAGGTCCCAGCGGCACAGTCCGCATGCGTCCCCGCCATTCATTTTGACCCAGCCCTTCCCGCGTTTCGTGGCCCCATGGGAGCTCCGCCGAAAGTCCCAGTGGCACAGTCCGCGAGCGTCCCCGCCACTCATTTCGGCACACCCCTCACACGTTTCGTGGCCCCTTAGGAGCTCCGCCGAAGGTCCCCGTGGCACAGTCCGCATGCGTCCCCGCGGGGGACTCCGCGCTGCGCTGCGCCCGCAGCCTTGGACTTTTGAGTGCGCGGGCAAAGAGGGAGTAAAAGAAGGGGAGGAAGCGGGCGCGATCCTCGCGGGGTGGCGCGCCGACAATGGCGTCGCGGCGCGCGGGCGATGCCGTCGGGGAGTCCCGGGAAAGCTCCTTGCGGCGGCCACGCGCAGCGTCACGAGTACTCAGAGGCAGTTCTTTTCAAACTATTGACATTCATATACAAGTACACCATTCTTTGTCATACTCGCATTCATGCACGTAGACTCGCTCGCACGCAGATTCATTCACAGTCAGACACACTCGCGCTCAGATTCACCCGCGCTCAGTCTCTCTACGTACTCAGATCAATAGTTTTCGTTCGCGTTGTGTACCACGCAACTGATTTTGGCACACCCCTAGCACGGTTCGTTGCCTCATAAGGATCACCACCAAACAAGTGAATCACAATTGCGGTACTCGCACCTGCATAAGGTTGGGTCCTTCGTCAGGCTAATATGTTTTGGGCCGCTGTTGTTTTTCTGGTTTGGTCCCCGCAGGTGTCGTTTTGCTTACGCTTTTGGTTGCCATGTTTTCTGTTTCGTCGGATGAAAAAAACGCCCGCAGCGTTTGTAAGAACAGCTAAGTGCACGACGACACACGATTGCCAATGTCGAATGAACCGGTTCAGATTTCCTGAGTCGGCTTGTTTGCGTGGGCGAACTCTCAATGTCCGACGCAATCTCTTCTATGTCGTCTGACTCTGAGCCACCGGCGGCGTTCAACCTTGAACGCCAGTACGGTGGCCGTCGCCGCGTCAACGCAGCGAGGACTTGCAGCATCTTGGCGACTTCCAAGATCAACCGCCCGAGGAGCTGCCAGCCTGATCTGTATTGGGCCCCTCGCCGTTTGTCGTTGCCACTTCCGCTGATCCTTGTGTTGCGAGGCCAGCTTGCGACAACAGGTTGCTTGCCGACGCTGCTCTGCGGCTCCGACTGTTGCACGAAGACACAGGAGCGGGAGGCTTGAAGATGGGCACCAACACCAGCACCAGGGTGCTGCATCCACCACCAGGGTGCCCCATCCACCACCCGGGATCCTTTGCCCTCGGTGGAGGCACACCGCCGAGGTTGGCGTTGGTGTCGACCTCTGGGCCTCCGCAAGCGAGGCTCATGGAGGGCCCTCCGGCGCCCCGGCAGCCCCCCTCCCCCCTCCCTCCCCCGCCTCGGGGCGGACCCGCGGCCCTCCGGGCGGCTGCTCCGCCGGCGACGGAGAACGCTGCAAGAATGCGCGCGGCGGACGAGCAATGGTTCCCCGACGTCTCCCGGGGCAGCCCTACTGCCGAGCAGTGCTCCGGGGCCCTGGACAGCTCAGAGGGACCATCCGAGCGAGGTCTTCGGGCACTCGGAGCCCTCTCGGAGGCCTCCGCGGCGGGAAATAAGGAACGATCGGGCTTGCACTGCCGCGAATCAAGTTCACGTTCGGGGTGCGCGAGGTGGGGGAGGGAGGAAATGGGCCTTCTTTGAATCTCTTCCCTGGCGAGAGTCCTCCATGGCCCTGACTGGCTGGGTGACCGACCTTGGAACTCCAAAACTCAGACTGCAATGCAGACGATCGGCTTCTGTTCTCGCAGACAGCCCCCTGTGATCGCACTGGAGCAATGAATCCTCTTCCTCCTCTGCCAGTGCTGTCCTGTCTTCTCCTCTTATTTTCTCCTCCTACATTCATTCTTCTCCTCCTCTCTCCTGCTCCGGATCCTCCTCCCTGTCTCCCACTTCTCTGTCTGCGCTGGCCTTGACGATCCCAGAACTCCCCTGGACCCAATCCACAAGTGCAGGCGGCGCTCCCGGGGGGAAGAGGAGGCAGGCCTGCTCAGAAGGCAGCGGGGCTTCTCAGCAGCCCTCCTGCCTTCGAAGCAACCGTCCCTGCCTTCGGGGAAGGCGTAGAGCACTTCTCAGAAGGCGGGAAGCCTTCTGAGCCTTCTGAGAAGGCCCACCCCCTCTGCATTCCCCCATTAGGTTCGCCGCCGAAAAGGTGGCCTCCTCCTATGTCATACATGTTACTCCTACGTACTCATTATCGTCCTTTTCCTCCTCCTCCTCCTCCTCCTCCTCCTTCTCCTCTCCTCCTCCTCCTCCTCCTCCTCCTCCTCTCCTCCTCCTCCTCCTCCTCCTCCTCCTCCAACTCCTCCTCCTCCTCCTCCTCCTCGTCCTCCTCCTCCTCCTCCTCCTCACACTGTTTTTTTCCGTTCCCTCTCCCTCCTGCTCCCTCTTCTCTGCCCTTCCCGTCGCCGACCGCCGATGGATGCGCTAATGGCGAG